AACTTAAACCACTCCATGGCTGACTGCGTGCACGGACACACACACATACTGAGCACATCACTCAACTACTTAGTGGTATAGAACCACACTCCAGAACAAACACCTTAATATGAAGTTCTTGAAAGTCTGACAGTAGGTCAGATGAGTGGACAATGAACTGGAAGGATCAGTATAATTTAAAATGCTATTTAATCGACTGTTGGTTAACCTTTTTCAGACATAATGATTAATCAGTGACCCTTAATTGATCTAAATGACAACATAACGTATGCGTCATTAAGTGACTCCCATATCTGCGCTGCATTGCGATTTAGTATGCTGTTTAAAGGACCAATGTTAAATTTTATTAAAAGAAAATTCAGCACAATGGCAAACTAATTTGCAAATTTCCCTGCATGCAAGGTAATATAAGTAATTTTCATGCAATAATTTTTCTTTTGTCATCTTTTCCCCACCTGCATTAGCTTTATCCCCATAAATCGCTGGTTTAGACCCCACGATGCAGTCGTAAAAATTATGACTACAATATATGAAACTCCTGGGAAGTGTGATATGAATGTAAAAGCCTTGAGGTGAAAGAGAAGGAATATGAGTTTTCACAGATTAAGCTTAAAAGTAAGTGAGAAGACTTTTCTGGACCGTGGTGTTATAAGCTGTTCTAAAAGCCTTGATCAAGCAATCTGCCTAACTTGGAACCATTTTACCTGGCCAATATTCCACTTTTACATTTTTTTAATGGTGTTCTATTTAAACATACTGGTGATCCTTTCTCTCGCGTCATGACCTTGGACAGATAGATTGAATTTTAATTATAAATTACATTTTAAACAGAAAATAAAAAGAGGTTTTTAAAGGGCAGAGGTCTTCGGAGTTTTTATTATCTGAACAACATGTGATTGCGGCCCAAGTCATCTAGACTTGGTCGAACCGGGACAACCATCCCGAGGCTTTACTGAGAATGGCCCAATAAAGAGAAAATATCCAGTGAGTTACAGATGTTCGGGTGAAAATGTCTTGTTGATGCCAGAGGTCAGAGGAGAATGCCTTGGAACTTAACTAGTCATTACAACCATGCATAAAAACATCTGTGAATGGACAACATGATAAAGCAGATAGACTACAGTAATAAAAGACCCCACTCCTGACAGCAAAGAACAGGAAACGGAGCCTACTTTTCACACTGGCTCATGAAAATTGGACAACTGAAGATTAGAAAAACTTTGCCCGGTCTGATGAATCTCATTTTCTGCTGCAACGTTCGGATGTTAGGCTCAGAATTTGGGGTACACAACGTGAAAGCATGGATCCATCCTGTCTTGTACCAGAAGTTCAGGGTGGTGCTGGTGTAATAGTGTGGGGGATATTTTCTTAGCACACTGAGCCTTCTAGTACCAACTGAGCATGATCACAGCCTAGCTGATATTTTAGCTGACTGTTATTTTTGCTCTCTTTATAACTACAGTGTACCCATCTTCTCATGGCTACTTGCAGCAGGATAACACACCACGTCACAAAGTTCAAAGAATTTCAAATTCATTTCTTGAACATGACATTGAGTTCACTGCACTCAAATGGCCTCCACAGTCACCGGATCGCAATCCAATAGAGCGCCTTTGGGATGTGGAAGAACAGGAGAATCACATCATGGATGTGAGGTTGATAAATCTGCAGCAATTGTTTGATGCTCTCATATCAACATGACGTAAATCTCTGAGAAATGTTTCCAACACCTTTTTGAATCTATTTCATGAGGAATTATGGCCATCCTGAAAACATTTGGTGGTCCAACCTGACACTAGCAAGGTGTACCTAATAGTGTTCTTCAACGATTAATAAAGGCGACACCAGATCCTTGTTAAAGTTAAAAAGGTTTGGCCTGCTATGATAAGCTACAGCCAGAGTGGAAGAAAATGCTGTCTGGGTCTGGTTCTATACTAATGTTTCATAGTGTGACATGAAGTAAGTTGTTATCACAAGCCATACAAAATATTACCTTCTGCCCAGGCTACAGTATGAAAACCAAGGACTTAACAGAATGGATCCAAAATAAATCCACTGATATGTATGAAAGCGATGAAACTAAGGGGAAAAAAATAAAGCAGCAAGTTCTCTGCTGGTGTGCGAGACCTAAAGAAACTCAACACCAGCCTCAAGCAACACCCCCATCGCCAACCTGACCACAGCTACCGCACCCCCTGCTTGGTCTTCATACCGTAGCCCCCCCCCCTCCAAAGCACCTTGACATCCCAAAGGGAAACAAATATCAATGGGATGTGCGTGGGTCTGGGAAGACATCAGGTAGGGAAGAAAAGAACTGAAAAGCAAAAAAAATGTGCATGCAACTACTTGTGTTAAGGCTGAAAGACTAGACGGTCTAAATATCTGTGGTGGTCATCACTGGAGGTGGTGTGTGTGTGGGGCAGCAGCAGCAGCGGCATCAATAATTAAAGCTAATCTCATTAGGCCTCAGATCCCTTTCAGACGCTTTTAATTAAATGATGAATGGCCTCCCAGCTGCCTGTTAAATAATGCTGCTCATGACATCACAGTGTGCATGCATGCGAGAGGTACAACATAAGGTAGATATCCTTAAAAAAAAAAAAAGGGACACAAGGAGAGACTTTCAGTGCAGAGAAAGGTATGGTCTCTCTCGCACACACCCACACATGCAAACACCATCTGCTCGTGGATTCTTTATGCGGCTGATTATTAGAAGTTACGGCTGGCCTATGCACCACGGAGAGCGAACAGGAGTTAAATGTCTCAGAAGTGGCAAGCTGTTCCATCATACCAGGCCTCGAAACACTTCATATCAACTTCCTAATAAAATCACTCACAATACCAGATGTCTACAAAAAAGGAAGACAGATTGAGGGGAGAGAGAGTATGTAAGTGTAAAAAAAAAAAAAAAAAAATGGTCAAGGAGCTTAAAAAAAAGAAAAAAGAAAAAAAGGTCAGTGAGGAGTTCGGTGGGTGTGAGGAGGATAAAGATAAAGGAAAACAAAGAAGGAGAGACACGTAGACTACAGAGTGAACTTGGATAATGAGAGCAACAGGTAAAGAAGAGGACAGGTAAGGGTGCCAAACCGCCTAGGGCTCGCAATAGCACGGGCGCCGCTACGAGAACACCCATAATCCTGTTTCCCATCCCCCCCCCGCTCTCTCCCTCTCTCTATCCTTCCATCCACCCCCTCCTCCCTCCCCCCCCACCCTCGCTCTTGGGCTTGATCTGTATCGGATTGCTGACTTCACAATAGGGCCTGAATCATCACTCTGTAGCCAGAGAGACACAGAGAGAGACGAAGAGGCGGGAAGGCCGGCGGGGAAAGAGAAGGTGGGACAGACAGTCAGTCAGACAGATCGAAGAAAAGGAAAAAAAAAATCAAGGACATGGAGCAAAAAAAAAAAAAAAAAAAAAAAAGGAAGAAGAAGAAGAAGAAGAAGAAGAAGAAGAAGAAGAAGAACACGACAAAACCAAAAACAACAACAACAAAAAAAAGAAGACTTCATTTTTCTCTTTGGATATCACTGCTGCAATGATGCAGTTCAGATGTGGTCGCAAAAAACCAAAACCAAAAAGTCTTTCATGAATATTAAGATAATTTTTTTACTTTCAGTGTATCCAGTCATTGTTCTACTCCATGCAGAACTGTAGGCTAACACCAGCACCAAATACAAAGCACAAACATGTAAGAAATTAATATCAATATTATTTTAATGTATTCAGGAAGGAATACTCTTAAGAGACAGGAAAGCATGAATTGCACACAAGTGCAAAATTCCAATTCCAAACTGTCAGATTCGATGAAAAACTGAAGATCTTTTGGTTTTAAATGGATTTTTTAAAATATGTGACTTGGCCATGCTCATGACTATGAACACTAATAATATAAGGCATTAATCTCTGCTTAAAACAAGAAACAAAGTGGCAGATAATGAAAACAGCCATTAGTTGTAGCAATAGTCAAGTCAGCACAGAGACACAGGTCACAGCCTCGCCGACCCCTCTCTCCCACCTTTCTGATTCTGCGCTGCTGCAGAGAAAGAAATCCAATCTCCCAGCAGAGCAACAGAGGAAGTTCTTGCGGCAGGCGAGGCAGAAGGTTCCTCCGTTACCAAAGCACAATTGTTGCAATTTCATTTCCTTCCCAGCAAAATGAGGAAATATGCTCCTCTTTTTGGAACCAATGGCAGATGAGCATTAGCCAGAAGTTGGGGCCGAACAAAAGGTGGGCTATATCGACGGCTCTATTTATGGAAGTTACTGCAAACAAAGAAGAAAATGTTTTACTATTTTAATAATGACTTCTTCTTGGGGTTATGCTTTTACATTTTAAACGTGTTTTATCTTTACGGAGCAAATTCAAAGCATCAGTTCAGCACGTCAGTTACAAAAAAAAGAAAAGAAAGAAATAATAACCAACTATGTTAAAATGTCACATCTGGCAATATAGGGATTTTCTTGAGAAGTCTCAGAGTAATCAATAAAGTGATGAGTCTTGGCAAGAAATACATAGCCCTGATTGACTTCCATTAAACAAGCATGGCCACAGTATTAGACAGTCTCCACTCAGATGACCTCAGCCAACCCACACCACAGAGAGTATATGCGTATAACAGAGAAAGAAACACCTACACACTCGTACTCTCACACACCAGACACTAAAGCACACATATCATGTGGTTTCCTGTCTGGTGTGTTCTTCTAGAAAACCCACGCCACTTGCTCTGGCTTCTAGATGGATTCTCCAGTCTGTTTTGGGGGCTTTGACTCTGTCGGGCTTTGAGTGGCTCAGGGACTGTCTGTGACCCGCTGACCTCACACCTAGCTGCCTTTCTCTGGCCAGACAGACTCTCACTCTATTCTCATATACGAGTTATAAATTATCTGTACCAAAGCATGGACTGAAGGGCTTTTGGCGAAAGACAGATGTTTTGGTTGTTTCACACATCTTAAATAATAACAATGTGCAGCACCAGGACGATTCATGTTATGGATGCACTAAGCCAAGGAAAAACACTGTGCTGTGCACTTCCCTACATCTTTATTACAGTAACGCGCAACTATGCATCGCCACATGGGTGGAGCTGTTGGGAATCTGTTGTGAGTCTTATCCATTGTTGCACCAGTGCAACAACAGGTTTAGCTTATTTAGCGGTTCAGGTGCTGATGGGTGATTTAGTGACTGGGGAAAGAAGTCCTTTAGAGATGAAACATGTGTCCAACTGTTTAACACACTTTTCAGTGAATTTTTCCCCCCCCCACACGCACCATTTAGATCAAACGGTGTTGCCATGATAAGCCCAATTTAACTCATTGGCCAAAAACTAGCATTTCGCTAAAATTGTAAGCACTTACCATATTGGGCTCATGCTAAAGTTTGTAGCTTTAACAATATAATGTTTAGTCAACCTGAATACTACATTAATATAAACTTTGGGATGGAGGCTCAGAGTTTGTCGGTCCTTGAAAGGCATTCCTTTAATTAAATATATGTACATATTGAAATTCTGAGCATTCTTCTGCATGCAATCTTAAAACTATCATAACTCCTGCTATTATGCTATGATTTTCTAAATCTGCTCTCATTTGCTTGGTTTTCTTGTCACGGTTTCTCTGCAACTGCATGCAGTTTAATATCATTTAGCATTTATTGTCTACATTGTGCATGCCATATTTCATATCCTGCTCTCCCTACTCCTCTGCCTTCTCCTGTGCTGATCAAAATAATCTGCAGCGTTTCTTGCACAGAGAGAGAAGACTCACTCAGCAACACTCAGCTGTCAGCTACACATAAATCTTACGAGAAGCACTGTACACCAAGCTGAAATTGAAGTGCCCCTCGGTGCCCCAGCTAGGATGCCAGCCTACCAGAGGGATGCCAGTGGGGTAGCTGTTACACTCTACACTTCAGTGATCTGTCCCGTTGCCGGGCAGATTTTGAAACGGCCATCTATGACGCCAGTGCAATCTTAGCAATCAGGGTTGGGCTGTAGTCATATTAAGCTACTGCTGCTGCATGTAAGTTTGTGTGAATGTGTCTGTATGGGGTTGTAGGGGTGAAAGAGGGGTGCAACCTGACCCCTTTCCTTCTCCTACTTGGTCTCTCGCTCTGTGTCTCACGCACATGCACACACACTAGGACAGCTGCCATACTAGGGGCCTCTCCCAGTGCACCAGAGGAAAAGGCTAAAGCTAAAAGAACCCTTTCCCCTCATGTTTCAGACGCTTTTTCTTTCTTCTCCATCTCTCTTACTTTTTTTCCCTTCAGGTGGCTCAACATTTTAAATCCTGCAAAGCTCCCTGGGGTCAACAAATGCTCCTGCTCCCCCATCTCTCACTGCTTCCACCTCCACCAAGCCAAAGACTGGAGACTTCAATCGGAGGTCTGTTGGATCAGGAGCTCTTGAGACTGTGTGTGGAGTTTGCATGCGTTTTCTGTTTTCTGTGTGTGCACTGAATGACTGACGCTGATCTGTCAATCCAATCTCCTTAATGTTCACAGCTGAATTCAAATACAAATCGTTGTATTCGTCGACATCATCTCACAGAGCATCACCTAAAAACAACAGCTTTTCTCCAAAGCGAAACAAAATATGCGACAACAGGTGAAGCGAAACACCTCAAGAAGCTGTAAGCAGCGCTTCGGAGCGAACCATTGCAAGCGCCATCTCAGGCTCCTTTCCAGCGCTCCCAGAGGACCCCAGACGGCAGGCTGGCTCTCGACAGGCAGGCGGCCAGAGAGGACGCCTGACCATAACCCAGATGACGTGCGATGGATGTGGTGGGAAAAGGGCGGGGTGGAGGAAGTAAGGGTACTTTAAAGGGTAAAGAGGAGGAGTGGGGGTATTAAATATCAACAGACAACTCCCCGAAACCTTGTGTGTGAGGTCTGAGTTGTTTTCTTAGTCACCCGAGACACGCCTATTTCAATGAAGGAGTGCGGGGAAAGAATTAGCCAATTTCAGTTTAAAGACTAAAACCAAAAGGAAAGCTTGAAAATTTTTTTACAAGTATAGGATAAGTTTATAATTTAAAATGTTCAGTCAGATGTTAAAGCTGTCATTCATACTTAGAATCAAAGGTTTAAAGGTTCAGCTGTAATCAGACTGAAACAATACGAGCAAAGCTGCAAATTAAATTTCCATTTAAAGCCTTGAAAAAGAGGTTGAATGTATTTGAGGTTGACATATTTTGAACCGTTTTTAAAAGGAAAAAATGGCATATGTCAGCTGTTTTAACAGTTTCAGATGAAACTGCAGTTTTCTTTATCTTTTTGATAAACCTTTGAAATTAGACTGCAGTTCAAAGTTTAGCCATATATCTGAAAACAGTGGCCACCTTATAGTAATTCAGTCTCAGTCCTTAAGTACAGTTACAGCATACTGTCGGGTGTTAGAACTGGAACTAATGACCCCAAATATCACTCAATTTTTCCAATAACTGAAAGTAGTGTTAGTGCAGGGCTATTATATTGACCTGTATTGATTTTAGCTATGTCCACATGTGAAAACCATATACCGAGTTTCCTAAATACCAACACACCTGAATTCTCCGGTTGTCCAAGTTACAAAGTAAGCTTTGGCCCCTTTACAGAAAATGCTGAGCCTGAACATTTTAGAAGTCACAAATCTGAGCCTATAAAACCATCGAACTAATAAAAATCTCTGTCCTTGCTCCGATATCTCATTTCCAACACGAACAATTAATCAATGTCTTTGAGCCGCAGCTCAAATTCACTTATAGATGATATCACTGCCCTATTTAAAGTAGGTGAAGTAACTGTGGAATATGCACATCAATATTTGATGTCGCGATAGCGGCAAGACAAGATGGATGTTTTTCTCTGTTCTCTCTTTATTTCTGTGTTTTTGTGTTCTTTAGTGTGCGTGTCTGTGCGTGTGTGCGCGTGCATTTTATGTATGAGTGACATGTACTCCGCTGGGGTCCGCCTGTAATCCAACCTGAAGTGAGGCTAACAGAGCAGCACAAAAAGTCGGGGGGGAAAAAAAAAAAACAACATACTTCGTGGGCTCTGTCCCACTTTGCGCTATTATTACTGTCGAGGCTGGCAGGTCAGAGAGAGGGAGGGAGAGAGAACGCTGCTTCATGGAGGAGGAGAAGAAGATGAAATTACACCTGTTCTGGTGGCTGACTAACGACTTTGAAATGCGAGTGGCCCTCGCTCGCCGCCAAAATCATTTTCCCAACAATACGGCCTGATCTTTAAACAAGCAGAACTGGGACGCTGCGCTGACGTGACGCAGAGATGGCCCGCTGTCCTGGGACGCTCACAAACCCTCGGGCTCAAGTGTGGTGTGTGTGTGTGTGTGTGCGTTTGTGTGTCTGTGTCAGTGTGTGACTGAAATGTAAAAGATAAAGATAAAAATTACCTCCTTTTTCAATTTAATGAGTGATTTGAATTGCGTTACACACTTCGGCTCACAAAATTCACACACATGATTGTTAAATTGACATCTATGCCCAACATTGTTTCTCCTGAAGTCTCATTCACTCTGACTGGTGCCATATGGTTACTGTACGCTCACTGAAACACAGCTGCTGTGTATTAGCCTGGACACACACACACACACACACAATGTATGTCTCTAATGCACCCATTCCTCACACTTGTGTGGCCGATACAAGGTATACTTACTCGCTCAGCCACACACACTTACATACAGTAGCCTTTAACTCACCATCTGTTCGCTGAGGTCCTGTGAGGCCTCCATGGCTCCTCTGGCTTTGATCTGCCACACACTTGAAAGCCAAAAAAGAAAATAGGGAAATAAAATAGATGTCAGAAGCCTAAAAGTGACGCTTTGTTTACTTAAAAGTAAACAAGATCATCTGATAGACTGAGATGTTTTCCACCAAAATCCCAGCAAAAACAAACCACTCTTCTGGGAGTTTCATGGCTTATATCGTGAATGAAATCGCGCACGGTTCAGCATTTAAGTTACTTTGTACGTGTGTGTGCATCTGTCGGTTAGCCCTTCAGTCACTGCGTTTATGTGTGAGCAACAGGAGAGCGAAGGAGGGAAGCGACAGCGTTAACTTCAGCATATCATCTTCAGCCGAGGGTGAAGTGGAGAGATAATTGCAGAAGTAAATATCAACAATGAAAATGGAGAAGTGTAAGTGATAGGGCCGCTTGGCTGCCTCTGGACCACAGACACAGTGGCTGGCTAGCGCACGAAGATAGTGAGTGACCCTATTAATACTAGACAGGAGACAGGTTGGCGGAGGAGTTCGGAGAAGCCTGAGGTGATTGTCTACAAGTTAAGCGAAGATGAGGCGTTGCGATCAGCCAGATGAGGACAGAAGCTACAATGCGTCCTCGTCTTGTTGTCGCTACTGTCATGCACGGAGTGACGCGGCAACAAAGGACTGCAAAAAAACAAAACAAAACAATGGAAAAAGGTGCCATTATCCCAACAGGGTGACACTGAATGGCTCCTTTCTGGTATGTTGCGCAAAAGGCGTCAGAAAAAAGAATAAGCTGCAAAAACACACACACACAACCTGCAAACACAAAGGTCCTCCCCGTCATTAGATCTGTTGTTCCCAGCAATGTGGTAAAGAGTGCCACTAACTGTACCTATCTCAAGTTCTCCATCAAAATACACTTTTTATTTTACTGTAACACTTTTTGACTGTAATCGTGAATACTACAATGTGCATACAAGTGTGTTGCTCTTTCTAAAAGACAGATACAAGGGATTTGTTTACTTTTACCACAAAGACTGATCAGGGTCTAAAATGTTTTTCCCAAAATATGGACAGGTATGAGCACAAAATTGGGGCACTCCAAGTTGTTCTTCAGTCTGCGCAGTGTTTTGTTGCCGAGTGTGTTTGCATGTGTGTGCACTGTGGAGTTTTCTGGCTCGATCCTTTAAACTAACTGGCATCCTTTTAATTTTTCATAGCGCTCAGCTCCTCCTAGCCTGAAACCGAAGACAATAATGCGTCTCTCAGGTGAATTGATTTGTGCCCAAGCCTCCCTGCTTCCCTCAACCCCCACCCTCTCCCTCCCTCCCGCCCTCTCTCTCTCACCTTTGTGGAGGACATAATCAGCCTTCTATTCGAGCTGGCTGGGTTTCACCCTTCCCTTCATGATTTATTCTTCTTTAGCGGAAACGTGATGGGCAGTAAACCCACAAAGAGCAAAGTTTACTTCATGCTTGTAATGGAGCATTTGTCTTAGTTTTCCTTAGTTGTTGTTTTTTTTTATATTAAAGTATAGCACAAATAAGCCACAAGGAGTTTTGCTGATTAAAAGGGGATCTTTTTTTTTTTTTTAATGTCAGAACTAATTCTTATTAAATGATGCTGTCTATCTGCCCCAGCTGCCCTGCACGGCCCTAAAACCCACCCAGCAGTTACCTGACACTAAACAGGGAATCAATAGTGCCTGCCATTTCCTTCGGCGTCCCAGAAGAGAGAATTATATTTCTCACTATGGCTATTGACAGCGACATAAGAAACACATATGGGACGGCAGAGGGTTAGAAAGTGGACCAAATAGCTACACCGCGGTAATTTCACGCTATAAAAGCCGAAGGAAGGAGAATGTTGAACAAACCGCAGACTGCTGCAGGTCGGAGTGGCTGCAGGGAAAAATCATATGTTAAATTTGAGTTTAACCTCGCTGTCTTAGCAATCGCTTATATGCAGCTATCGATCTTTAAATGACACGAGCAGTTTCCAAGATTACCAGTTAAGGATTAGTCTGTGCAAAATTTAAACTGTTTACACCCCCCTCCCCCCCCCCCCCAAAAAAAACCCCTAAGGCCTCTGACGTTTAAATGGTCAATATTTACATTTGCTTTTAACCTAAAAAGTTAAAATAAACAAATAAATAAAAATACAATATTTTATTCTGATATGAAGACTCAAATCTTCATATCAGAATAAAATATTTTATGCTAGGCAGGTTTAGGCCTAACGCAACATTTCTATAAACAATGCGATATGCATATACGAGTTCATTTTTTTAAGTACAAAAAAAGATTTGGAAAATGTAAGAGTGCGATGCTGTTCTTTGTTCTGGTCATTTTAAAAGGGATAAAACAGTGTGTTTTGCAGCCCTCCCCGTTTCGGGTCAGGGTTAAACAACATAAAACAGTTTCCAGATAATGAAACGGATACTCTTAGAGTTCTCCCACTAGAGGAAAAATAAAATGAATAAATAGAAACAAATGTGACGTGTTAAATACAGTTTATATACGGGATTATTTAATGCCTTAAGGTGGCCTCTAATTAACCGATATTACAAAGAACCAAAAAAACATTTAAACAAAAAATGTAAATATTCTAGCAAACGCCAACACCCACTAAAAATCCCCTTTGGCTGCATTAAAATATTTAATCCTAAATATTTCACATTTCTGGTGGGATTATCATCCTTAGACCGAGCCGTAATGTAAAATGAGATAGAAGGCCAGTGCAGGAGTTTACAATTTTCCAAAAATTCTCCACACTCTAAATCTTGCGCATTAATGCGCGTTGTTTAAGTATGAGCCCTTAATGTGAAATCTAATCTGTATGGATTACGGCGCAGTAGGCCCCTATCAGATTTTGAGTCGGCGTGTAACTTGTCATGTTGTTAGAGGAAGGCCAATAGCCAGGGGCCATTCAAGCCCTGAGAGCCCGGCAGTGGTATAAGATTCCCATTTCCTACATATCAAATATAAACACAAACTCCACGTGGGATGAGAGCCGAGATGGAGAGAAAAAGCCATGGACACGCGGAGGGATGAAGACTGAGAACTGAGGGGACACCAAGGGGACTAAACTCCTTCACGTGTCCACAAACTGAGAGGGGAAAAAAGGATGGACCGCACTGACCTGCAGTTAAAGACTGATGTGTGACCAATAACCACCAAAAAATAATCACTGTAATTTTATCATTCTTTTCTTTTTAATAAGAAAACCCTTTTGCACAACTATTCAGTTTTACGGGGAAGGATCTGACGTAATTGTCTGTTCATTTATTGCCATGTTTCAGCAAAAAATTACAGCAACCACTAAATCTTTATTATTATTATTTTTTGTCCACTTGTTTAATATCAGGTAATCTATCGGTGTGCCGTGATTCCGGGGCTGGGATGAAGTCGGAGAACACACACTTAACACATCAGCGTTATTAACAGGCATGCACTGGCCTTACAACAACAATAACGTAAGGTAAAGACTTATATTAATAATAATATTATAGAAAACTGGACAGAGTCTATCACTCTTTGATGGAGGATAATTCATTTTAATGTTACTGATACATTTTACTGAATTGTTGTTGTTTTTCTTTCATATAAATGTTTTTAAATCGGAATTAATCAAACTCAACAAAACTATGACAGTTTTCTCGCTTCTGCCACCTGACCTACAATTTAAGTGTCTAATAATAAAGCCACAGCCGTCTGGGGAAAATACAAACTAGTTTAAACATACCTGTGTTAAACCTATTGTCGTCCCAGCGAGAAATCAGCTCCCAGATTCTCTTCACTTCTTGCGAGCGCTCATAATCAAGTACTGCGTGATCGCCACACAGCTCTCCCTGCCGTCTGCAGGCTGTCACTGACCGGGATCAAAACACTCAGCTACTGCTTGCCATTATCAGCAAGAGTCCAAAAACAAGCCGATGAGTTATTCAGAGTCCTTAAAACAATTTTACAAACTCAAACACGGGTCCCGAGGCTCGCTTTCGGTGACCGGAACGCTCGCCCCCGCGGGAAACAACATTATTTTCAGTCCGCGTCCAAGTTTGAGCACCAGGCAGTTCAGAGGCATGGGACATTATTGAAGATTGCTCCTGCGCATGCGTCCAGCTGCCATGCGGATACTACCGGGCAAGAGTCCAAAGAAGTAATGGGGTTCAGAGTGGGGTGGGGTGGAGGGGACCAAAATGATTTCTTATTAATAGTTTGGCCCAAATGATGTGCTCACAGTTTTATATATCCCACAGGAGCAAAAACATCTAGCTATCAATCTATCTATCTGGTCTCCAATTAGTCCATTAATCCAGTATTATAAAGGATTCAGAAAAAAATTTGTATAGCAAAAGTATATATAGACTTTTTACTGTATTTTTATATTCAAAAACAACATCCATAGAAAGCCAGCTTTTTAAAAATACACAGTACATATGTAAACATGAAAGGCAAAAATGCAAACTTATGCAAACACGTCAAAGGAAAATGTGGTGGTTAATCTGTATACAGTTACAGGCAGGGGATCAGACAGAGGACAACGATGCCAGAAAACACGCTGGAGATGCAACGAAAAAACAAACAGAAAACAGCATGAGAGTAAAGTCAGACAGGACTGTTTTGGAGACGCCCCAGAAAGATGACAGGCTTGGCCATGGGGTCTGTTTATTTGAAATATTGTTTGTTATGGCTTATAGATTCTCCGACTGTTGGGCCCCGCTGGCTTCGGATCAGCGCTCTTTTACCATGCTGTCATTTATTTAAGATCGTGATGTCAGCGACCACTCTGACTGATCGCTGATTGTTGCTTTAGAGATCCTGTTAATGTTCACACACGCATGCCCACACACACACACACACACACACACACACACACACACACACACACACACACACACACACACACACACACACACACACACACAGATACAAGAAAGTGAAAAATGCTTTCCACTACTTTCTTTTACTATCCCTCGCATACACACACTCACAAACACACAATTTTTGTTTATGTGCAAAGTTTTCTTGGTAATATTATGTAAGATGAAAAGAGCCAAAGTTTCTGTGGTTTCAAATGCTTTGCACAAACACTAAAAAACAAAAAAAAAATTTCCTTGTTGGACTGGCTGGCAGTTTAACTGGCAATCCCAGAGACAAAAAGTCAAGTCGCCCTAAAGAAAAGGCAGGAAAGTGGGAGCAGCCCTTTACCAAAACTATACCTTCTAATGGAAGTAAATATCTTTCTTTGTGTTTGTGGGTAAGAAAGGAAAGACGTATCTCACATTAAGTTTCATAGCCGCTTTCACGATGTTCATTTTTTACAGTGATCACCAAATGACAGGGCACAGAAATGAGGTCTGTCATCTTCCAAAGTCACACTACTGCACAATTTAACTTTTTCATCATTTATCACATGGAATTGGACAGGATAAGTAGTGCAAAGTCATTTGATGCCATTTGTAGCTGGCATGACATAGCATCATGACTGATATGTGTGTTTTGGCACCGCATTGGGCGGGTCAAATTCAAACCCTTGGCATGGCTTGTGTACAGGAACTTGCATGGCAAATGGTACCCTGATGGCAGAAGAAAGAGAAAGCTGTAGTTGCATTTTCTCTCAAATACACAGCAATTAGAAAAAAATGCTTTATAAAATAGACTTAGAGTGTTATCTTGAAAGGAGGTGAAGCACAGTGCTCTGTGACTAGTACCCCCACTCTCTTTTAATATAAACACTTGGAAATATCAGTCTCATTTTCTTATTTGTCACCTAGTTTAAACTATGTAAACAGCCAACTTGTTGTTGTGCACGTGTCAGTCTGTTTTACCTGTGCTACCCCCTCGCCCCCTCTAACACCCCACCTCTGAAGAAAGTCTATGAATAGCACAGTTTAGCTGAATCCTTGTTTGACTCCTTTAATAAGGCCTAGCCTGTTGTGCCTTCCTGCTTCTCAGTCCAGCAGCAGAACCCGGGCCTGGACCCCGCTGCTAAGTGATTGACACATTCTGGCAGAATGAATTAAAACCTCGTGCTGTGACACATCCCAGAATAGCAAGAAGCTGTTGCTGAACTGCAGTCTCTAGTGCCGCATGTCAGCAAGCTTAAAAAACTTGGCAGAACATTCTGCACAAAGGAAGCATGTACAGGTGTTTGTGTGTTCCTCTTGGTGTGTGTGAGACTGCCTGTGCGTATGAGCCGACATGCGCTGACGTACGGTATGTTAATGCTTCAGCTACATCAGCAGTCTAAAGAGTTAATCCAACAGGCGGCCTAAAGCAGAGCCGCAGTGCCGATATTTGTCATGTTTTACACGATTTTGTGAAGCCCGATTGACGCTTTTTCAATTAAACTGAGACCACTTTGGAATTTGAAGGCAGTGGCAGATGGATCTATTTTTTTGGCCAGCTGTTCTCTGGAGGGTGACGCTGGGGTGGGGTGCGGGGGGGCTAAGCCCCAAGATGTTTCGTGGCGTAGGACTGTGAGTCTGTGTGCCAAGTCACAGAGCTCCCGGTTCTTGCCAAGCAGGGGGTGGGTTGAGAGAAAATGCCATTTAGCTGGCTGGTATTTATAGATATGTGAGGAACTTGTGCTCAGTCCTGGCCGAGGTGCTGACGACGTAAAACGAGAGGACGATTCCAGAAGTCGAGTGTCAGGGCACACAGATAAAAATACCCAGTGAAAGATGGGTCCGGTCATTAGTGGTGCAGTGTGGCATGTGACATGGCAGCATTTCAGAGGTGATTTATGGTTATTACTACAGCTAACCTATACCTCTCCCTTTCCTGCCCCCACCCTACATCTCAAATTGGTTTGCAAAATGGAATGGCAAATGGAGTTTATTTCAGGGGCCGAGTGCCCAGAAAAAAACAGAAGAAGTGTGGAGCAATTTAGACTTTGGCAAGGTGCCACGGCTCGGTGTAAGATTTTACCACAATACTGGGAAAACATGATGATAAATTACACTTCTAACAGCTATTTAAGGTGGAAACGCAGAAGGCAAAAGCTACTTTCATGTTACCACCAACCCCGTGTTACTGCAAGAGCTGATAAAGAGCATATGAAAAGTTTTCCTGCGTCAATCATATCATACTGGACAAAAATGATGTGGGCTGATGATAGGTTGTGGGGGTAATGATCTCACTTCAGGTCACTGCCTTCTGTAATTGCCCGGCGCAAGCTGCCACAGGGAAGAACAAAGGAAACATTTCACACGTCGTAAATTCATGTAATGCCCTGCTGCAGAGCTGCTCCTCTGGTTACATTGCTCCTCAAAATTTCTTTTTGTTTTGTTTTAACTTAGTTAATCATTAAAAAAATAACAGTTTGCATTCAGACAGTGAAAGTTTCTGACACATTTATCTTAAGAATATTTACAGTTATTAAACTCACCTTCTTAATGTGAGTCAAGTCTTTTCTCCCGTCTTTCTCTGCTCTTTCCCCCCCTCCTCCCCAACTGGTCATTGCACATGTTGTTCCTCCCTGGTCTTGTTTTATCTGATGTTTCTTCCTCTTAAAAAGGAGTTTTTCTTTCCCACTGTCGCCAAGTGTTTATTCATTTTTGGTCATCTAAAAAGTTTTCTCTTTATTTTTGTTGAGTCTCTACCCTGCAATAATAAAGCACCTTGAGGTGAGTTTTATTGTGCATTGAACAGAAGAAGAAGATATATCCAGGGAGAAAATTTGCACTTGAAAGAAATGTAGTGTGTGATTTGCATGGCCAGGCAGGAGGGGATGGACATGAGGTCTTTTCTCTCCTCTGACCCACCAGAACGGTGCCCTAGCTGGGTTACAGACTTCCTGATTTACTAATAAGGCACTGATAAGGCCTTACTAATAAGGCCCTCTCCCGCTTAACAAAACACACACTTCAGCAGTGTAGCCCACCCCTTTGTCACAAGAGAACTTGTGAGTAGGGTTTACAGAGGCGAGGAATCCATGTTAATGGATTTGCGGATTCTAAATGAGGTCAGTTTACAGTTACACCTTTTTGCATGCATGAAGGTCTAACGTCTAATTATGTCATTTTAATGAGCTGAGATGAGCTTTAGAGGTCTAAAAAAATGCTTTGAGATTTTGTAATATATATATATGTATACTGTATCAAAAATGTTCTCCAAAGTCTCCAAACACATTTCAAATATCATACAACACTTTTCTCCAACACTTGGTGTCTCACTGAACTACTTCCCAGTATTTAGTCTTTTGTCCCTGGAGGCAGATGATGGAGCATATGCCTTACTCGCTGAGATGGAGATCAAGTGTGTGTTAGAGCAGCTGAGAAGCAAGATGGAAAGAGCAGGAAAGTGTGTGATTTCGTCCTACATTCAGAGGCTCGAGAGGCTACTCTCATGTGTGAAAGCACAGTGCAGTGTCTGTGTTTCACTTAGAAGCATGTGGTTTGTGTGTGTGTATGTGTGTGTATTGGGTAGGGGTATCAGGCCAACAAAATTAGTTTACCATCAGCTGTGCTCTCGTTCAGTCCCGGCCACCATCCAGTATTTCTTCCAACTCTCTCCATCTAATTGTGGCTCTGGACGGCTTTACAGCACCACCCTTGGGATGCTACTGTGGCCAGATCCAGAACACTAGGCTTTATGTAGATTGAATGTTTTATGGTTATGGACATAATATTTAAGTATAGAAACAGTCGCACCACAGCACCCTGCTCTAATAATTATGCCAGCCTGTAGGTAAGTGGGAAAAGCTGTGTAACTGACCTCACACTGCGTAGTGTGAGAGATGTAGATAACCCAACAGTTGAATCAAATCAATGCCATGTCTCAAGTTGGTTACATTAAGCGGGAGGGGACAGACTCCACATTTTTTTTTAAAGTAGAGCGGGGAGAACGGGAACTGTAGTAGCCACATGGTGGTGAGTGCTGTCATGTTAAAACAGTTAGCCTTTGATAGCTGCTGCAGTGGTCAGAGGACAAATCATTAGAAATTTTCACTGTCTAGAATCTGATGGATGTAGCTTATGTGTGTGCCTTCACGCAAATGCATGGCCATGAGAAAAACGATTGGTGGGGGGAAGAGAATGGAAGAAAAATGATTGGTGGTGTGCTTTTGCTTGTAACAGTGACTTGATGTAAGTTAATCGTCAATTTGGAAAATACGTGATCTCAGATTCTACGTAGCCATACATGACTTTTACCCAGTATGTATCTGCTTCAGAATTTCTAATGTTAAATCACTTCAGTTTTTATATATGTACCACCAAACTGGATCAAGAATCACCTCAAGGCACTTTACATGGCACATGACTTACAATATGAAATAAGTATAAATAAAACGTGGAAGCAAGACAGCGTAGGTAAGGCAAAATTCATGACAGTGTCTTCTTTTGCTCCTGGTTCTGTGAAATTTGCTTAGTAAGGAAACCTGCACTTTTGGAATCTGTGAGATGTCTGCTTGCAGCTCCTGATGGCATGTTCATTGGGTGAAAGATACATGTTTTTTGTTTACATCTTTTGGTGGAATCGGGTTACCTGCTCTTCAATTATTTTAGCTGTTTGGTGGTTGTTGAAATGTTTTAGCCTGGTACCGGGGGTATTAGGGTTCAACAGGTTTTAACTGCTTATTACTTAATTATTTTGTGTAGTATGAATGGAGGTTTTTATCAGTATGAAAAACTCTAAAACAATTAAAAGTCCAAAAAGTCCTTGTGCTTGTTTGTGGTGAGCAGCAGATCAAACAAGTTAAGAATTAGAGACGGATTTAAGTGCCCATTCAGGCCTACAGGTTTTCTCTTAGCCATTGACTAAGCAAAAACCTGTAGTGATCCCGTATGTGTCAGGATTATCGGAGCAGTTGAGACGCATCTTTTCTAAACACCGGGTCTCGGTGGCTTTCAAACCCCAAAACACGCTGCACCAAAAATTGGTCCACCCCAAGGATCGCGTCCCCCGACACAAACAGACTAACATAGTGTACACTGTTAAGTGCCAGGAGGATTGCCAGGATTTATACACCGGAGAAACCAAACAACCTCTGGCGAAGTGGATGGCACAACACAGAAGAGCTACCTTGTCAAGCCAGGACTCTGCAGTCTATTTACACCTACAGGCCAGTGGACACTCTTTCAATGATGAGGATGTACACATCCTGGACAGGGAGGAACGCTGGTTTGAGTGCAGAGTCAAGGAGGCCATTTACTTGAAAAGGGAAAGACCATCTTTGAATTGAGGAGGGGGCCTAAGGGTACATCTTTCACCATCTTATAATGCTGTGATTGCAGCCATTCCGCAACTCTCTGTGAATGGAATTTGCATAATCATGATGAAGTAACTGACTTCCCAGCCCATTGTTCCCTCAGTGGGCTGGTTTCAGTCATTATGCGAATGTACTGTTTATAAGATTGGGGAAACCTGCAGTCAGCTGAGACTGAAGAAGTCACTTGGATGAGTGACGAAACGTTTCTCCCACTGAAAACGCTACATTCAGATGAACAGAATCAACTTTTGGAGAACACAGATCTCCTTCCTTCCTTCTTTCACATAATGGTATGAGCCAAGTCTTTCTTTGCATGTGATTGGCCACATGGTGTGCCCCCCATCCCTACCTGCATAGATTCTCAGCAGAGCCAATAACAATTGGGCAATTAACAATTGACATTATTAACTGCCGTATGTGGCCTGCAGGCTGGAAGTCTGGCACCCCTGTTGTAAAATACTTTTTTTTAAAGAAACTCAGGGGAGCGTTATTGTAATACAAGCCTTAAGTGTAGTCTCTCTGTCCCCCTCTCTGTCTTTGCTTAACAGAAACCAACCAGGAAGAAAGTTGTGAGAAGCACTTCACACACACACACACACACACACACACACACACACACACACACACACACACACACACACACACACACAGTTCTTTACTGTCAGGTGCCATGTTTATTTTTAGCTTTCATTTATTGTGACAGTCCGTAGTCTGGACAGCTCCGGTCTCAGCTGATCCCCGCTCCCCCTCCGCTCCTATCCTCTCACTAAAAAAGGGCCATCAGCTGTTCTCACCTGAGTCTCTAGCACCGCCCCGTTGAGCTCACTGCACCACTCCTCCCCTGCAGCCGCGCCCGGGACCACACCTCCTCTACAAAAGTATTTCCTCCTTCTAGTGCAAATCATGTGATTGTCTCACAGGGTCAAAGAAAGCTCCTCCCCCAGTGTTCTTTTCTTCTTAGTGGACAGGAAGAAAGAAATGACATCTGCACCCACAGCTGTCCTGTATGTAGATTTTCAAAAGAATAACAGGATAGATAATCCATAAAAGATAATCCATTAAATAGTTATAATAGTTGTTAAGGTCAGTTAATAAGAGTTTTTGAAGCTGCTTCAACCGTGAGTACTAAATTTGAGCAAACTGGAGTGACTCTTTGAAAGTGAAAGTAAGGCTGCTTAAGGAAAAAAACGACAAAATGGCTTCTAATGTATCACAGTCTGAGCTGGACTTCACCTGCCCTGTTTGTTGTGATATATTTAAGGATCCTGTTGTCTTGCTGTGTGGTCACAGCTTCTGTAAGTACTGTCTTGAGGAGTGGTGGAGGCAGAGTAGCCTTCAGGCTTGCCCGGTCTGTAAAGAAATATTTCCTATGTCTCGGGCACCACGTAACCTGGCACTGAGAAATCTCTCTGACAACCTGAGAAGAGAGAGGAGTCAGGCTGCATTAGCATCTAAGGAGCTCTGCAGTCTGCACAAGGAGAAACTCAGACTCTTCTGTCAGAATGATCAGCAGCTCATCTGTGTGGTTTGCAGGGATGCAAAACAACATAAGAAACACAACTGTGTCCCCATCAACGAAGCAGCAGAAGAGCACAGAGTAAGCAGTGCATGGATATTTGTTTTTAATTTGGTAGTTAACAAAAGTTAACAAATGTTTTTTAAATAATCTAAGTGAAACCTAACTAAGTGATCTCCCGTATACTATGTAATAATTATTCACTTTATTTATAGACTAAAATCAAGATTGAGGTGATGCACTTAAAGAGCAAACTGGGGACGTTTGAAGCAGAAAAACTCAGATATGATGAAATGGCTAACCACATTAAGGTAAGTTACAGACATATAATGCTATTGAAGCTAAACCAAACATTGTATCTTGTCTTCCATCAGAATTGTGTTTCTCCTCAGCTCCAGGCCCAGGATACAGAGAAGACCATCAAAGGAGAGTTTCAGAAGCTTTACCAGTTCCTGAGAGCAGAGGAAGCTGGGAGGATAGATGCAGTGAGGAGGGAGGCAGCACTCAAGAGTCAGACAATGAACCTGAAGATCGTAAACATGACTGCTGAGATCTCCTCACTTAGAGACAAAATCAAAACCTTAGAGGGGGAGATGAAAGCTGGAGACATGGCATTTATGATGGTATGTGTGGTAATCAATACTTTTGATTTAAATTTTGCCATCTAACAAAATCTGAAGCACAGATTTTTAAAAATAATAATTTTATTATAATAATTCCTCTTTATTTGATAGAACATCAAATCCACTATGGAGCGGTAAGTACAAGAAACTGCTGGTTAATGATGTATTCAAGTTTGAAAATCCGTCCATCATAACCACTCACTTCTCTTTGAGTGACTACATGTGAACAAAAAGGCAAAATAAATCACATAAAAATCAACGGCGGTGCATTTGATTTGTTTTGTTTAGTTTTGTTTGGCCATTCTTTTAGATCTCAGTGCACACTCTCAGATCCAGTCACTCCATCAGGAGCTCTGATCGATGAGGCCAAACACCTTGGGAAACTGCTCTTCTCAGTCTGGATAAAAATGAAGACTCTAATCCAATACAGTAAGCAAAATATTGTTGTTTCTGACTCACCTTTTTGACCTTATATCTGAAGTACCTGGGACTTTTGCAAGTACCTGTTGAACATTTTCATTAAATAAAAGAACAGGGTGTTGTACTAACACCTTCTATTTCTGTTTTTTCCCAAAGCTCCTGTAGTTATGGATCCCAACACTTGCTCCCAGGAAATGACTGTATCAGAACATTTGACTTGTTTAGCATCATGCGATTCTACATTATTTCCTCAAAACCCTGAAAGGCTGCATCAATCAGATATTCTTGGATATGAAAGCTTTAGTTCTGGAAAGCACAGCTGGGATGTAGAGGTAGATGGTTACTGGACTGTTGGTGTGGCTGCTCGAACCAGTGTTTCTTATTCTAAAAAGATCTGGGGCATCTATGTGTGTGTTTGCACTAACATTCTGCGTGAACTTACACCAGAAGACATTGACAAACAGGTAATGGAAGATTCATTTCCCCAAAAGGTCAGAGTGAACTTAAATTATGACAAAGGAATACTATCATTTTTTGACCTTGGCCGGAAAGTGCCCATACATATTATCAGATACACTTTTACCGAAAAACTCTTTCCATACTTTCGCGGTAAGACAAAAATTCTTCCACCTGAATTGTCAGTAGGGATAACACAAGTAAAATAGACATTCTGCAAAACTACAAAGTCCTCATAAAATAAGGACTCATTTGAAACTCTCTTTTTTGTAATGTTGTGGATATTTACAATGTAACCAAAATTTTCAGTGATTGAATGTAATAGATATACAGTATTTCCACAATGCCCCATATTGTGGCTAATATCGGTCTACATGTATACAGAGTACATGAATGAATGGTTATGAGGTAATACCACATGACAATAGTGTACGACAATCTCGCTCTCTTTTTCAGTCTTTTCACCACTAAAACACTCCCATGTATGAATCCACAGCCGTGCTGATACTGAATCTCGGTGGTATTACAGCTGGAATGCCTGCTATGTTTTTTCAACTAATGAAAGAATGAAGAAAAACAAACAGAGGGGCCAAATTAAAAGAGAAAAGGGATCGAGAGAAGAAAACACTGAGGGAGAAAAGGGAAGAATGGAAGAACGGGGCATACGGCTTCATTTAGTCTGGACTCCTCTGCATGTTTTACACGAGTGTGAGTCTGCTTTTGGCAGAGCTAATGAAGGTTCGAGATGGAGAATGACTGACAAGCCTGCTTAACTGTGGTTGTGAGGGAATTATGTTTGAATTACTTTAATTTGAGAAACGTGTATTTTTCAGATTTATATGAAGGGAATTTTGCTTTTGCTATTTTGAAAGTTGTTTTAATCATCAGTATATTGTTCATATTTACTGAGTTAAAATTGATTTGTAAATGTACAAACCTTACTGCAAACTCAATTGTGTCAAATTTCAATTTCTGGAATAAAAATGTGTTTCCTCTATGGTTTGTTGTTGTTGTTGTTGTTGTTGTTTACTCACACTGTTTTCCCTACACAGTCAATTTCTTTAAAAGTGTAGCAACTGTTTTTCTCTCTCAAAATCCCCTTTAAATAATCAATCATTTGATATTTGAACAGAGAACTGAGCCACTGAGCAGAATATGTCAAATGTTATTTTAAATGAATTTCTCTTTAAATCAAATCTGAGAACTTTCAAAGCTCAAGCCGTTGTTTTTGTAAGTTCGTGGACATTAGTGTTGTCCCAAAACATTACAGAGAAAATCAATAATTTTTTTTAGCACCAGTTAATTTCCTTAAATAAATTAAGAGGGACATAAATATAATCGTTGTGTGTATATTGTACATGGGATTCAAACATGTAGGTACTTTATGTGAGTGTGCTGTTCATAAATCACTGCGCACAGGTCAGAGGTAAAGAAGCACCGAACTAATGAAGCAGGACAAAGATATCAAAAGTGGAGCAATGATGTTTATGAGATTGACAACACGGCTCCGAGCAGGAGTGGTAACAGTAAGCAGGTCACAAGTTTAGATGGGAATAGAAAGAAAACAAACGAGATGAGCAAAGGGAGGGGAGAGATGTGCCACCTGCCCTGAGGTTGGAGACATAAGATCTATAGTACTTCGGACCAGCGCCTCTGTAGTCACACTTGGCTTGGCTTCTGAGGAGATGACAGTGTGTCTCAGTGTATGTGCTCAGTTGGTGATGAAAGAGTTGCAAATGTGCAATACTGTGCCAATTTTCTAAAGAGCCCTTGTGGAGATTTAGATTATTTATCATGTAATACCATCAGGTATCATTTGAGTGACCTCAGATTCAGTCTGCAACATGGAAATGACCTCAAACATGCAGGTTGGTCCTGAATACACTATATGAATAAAATGCCTTATGAAAGTATTGAAAAGTACTAGGCCACACCTCTTGATCTTTGAATCCTGGTCCTAATGCCACAACATCAAGCACCTAACCATACACTGTGCCTTTACAAATATTTGCAAAAGAATGGGTCATTCTAAAGAGCTCAGCAAATACAAGAGTGATACTGTAATATGATGCTAATATTGCCCGTAGATAATCCATTATCAAGTATCAAGTCGTATTAGTGCAAACTCAGCAACAAAGTTACAGAGCGGGTATTGTTATCAGCATAAAAACTGTGCACTGGGAGCTTCATGGCATGGATTCCATGGCTAGGCAGTTCCTATAAGTGCAATGTAAGTGGTCCACTACTTTTGCCCTTGTAGTGTAGCTTGAGCGACAAGAAGAAGTTCAGCAACAGACAGTATGGTCTCCACAGAGCCGTGTGTAGTCCCAGACTCACTGAGTCAGGCTCAAACTACACAAAGAGAACTAAGACACATAGAAAAAGCCACAGAACAGCTTAATTATATGCACTATAAATGGGAGCAAATATCTGTTTTTCTAATTTTTTCACAGTATTATTAAAACCTGACCTTTTTTTTCATTAAGAGCTTGCAAACCTTTGCTCAGTGTGCACAAATGGATAGATGATGGACATACAAATCAGTTAAAATAAGTGGTGGAATAAGAAAAACAGCTATACGCACAACAACCTGTATGCACACGCTACAGTTACTGAAAACACCACAGCAGTCAGTGTACATAAAGTAATATATAGATAAATGAGCATGAGCATGGAAACACACGTGTGCACTCTTATGCGGTTGTTTTTCCATCTGCTCCTTGTTTTCAGGTCCTTCTTGGTCACTTTTTACTCTTGTTATTGTGGTCTGGATATCTTCAAGAAACAAGACTCCGAGTATAGGATGTTGTCATCTCTCTCTCTCTCCTGCATTATGTTTCGTTTGGAGGCAATCACCGAGAAGAATCTGAGCAGTACGTGTCCTCAGCAATCATAATCATGAACTCCCCACTGGTCTGATACACACACACACACACACACACACACACACACACACACACACACACACACACACACACACAGGCCTGATTGCTCCTCAGTCTGGTCTGTATAATGTTATAGATGCAGATTGAACATGCCAGTCAGGACCTCACAGGAGGACACTGGGAGGAAAAGTGATGCAAGAGAGGAAAGTAATAATTTATTAGAAAATCTGAGTAAAATGTAGCAATGAAAGAAAGTTAGTGCCAAATAAAATCTTTCTCTGACTAAAACGATGCTAGACTTTAAGAGACTGGACTTTCACCCCGTAATAAATGATTAACAAACTGTTTTGCAAATGTTGCTTCTTCCTATCTGTAACATAAAGGCGCACACTAATACACACACTTAACGCTCGTTGAGCTGCGATATTCAAGTGCTCTGATAAAGTGCTGTCTGGTGTTCTCTCACTCTCTAAGCCCCCTGAGACTAGATCAATACTCACTCAGCGTCAAGTTACTGCTAATGTCTTCATGTTTTTAACCAGGCAGTGTGTGCGTGTGGTTAGTGAACCTATGTGTGTGTGTGTGTGTGTGTGTGTATGTCCCCCTGATGTGACCCAAGTTATAATTATCATTAGATGTCAATGAAAGTGAAAGGAAGAGTTAGACTCTCCAAAAAATCCCCAAAGTCCTGACCCACAGCGCCCCCTAAGGACAAGTATTGGAAGCTGCAGCTTTCCTGAAAGATTGATTTACTTCTGTGAGAGGAAAGAAGCTCAGTTAACTTATGAGAAATTCAATGGTTGACTTATATTTGAGAATACCCTTATCTCTTCCATAATTAGCCTACATTCATACCTATAAATTACAGGGTCATACAGAAGAATATTGTAGCAATATATGTCCTGAATCAACAGGTATACATTAGCTCCAACATCCAATATAGTGTGGTTTGCAGGATTTTAAATAAAAGGATGCTCTGTTTGATTAGGTGTCTGCACATCAGACAGGAAACAAATAGAAAAACTTATCAAGAATCCTGGCTATGTAGTCAGGTCTGAAGAGAAGAGAGTCCAGCAGTTTATGGAGAGATGAATGCTCTAGGAGCTGAAATCAGTTATGACCTCCCCTGCACATCTACTTCATACCCTTCAGGTTGTCAACAGTAGCATTTTCAGTCGAAGACTGCAACTCTGAGCATCCCAGGAGGTCCTTCATACCCACTGTGATAAGACTGTTTATAGAAAAATAATTATATATTTTTATCTGCATATTTCCCTGCTGGCAAATATTAGTGATTGACAGTTTTATTCATTTATATGTTACAAACTTTATTGGGAATTTATATTGTTCTGCTGTTTGGGATATGTGGTGTTATGTCCGTGTTGTAGTTGCTGTGGCAATGTAATTTCCTGCAAATGATTAATGAAGGATCGATCTATCTAACGGGCAGAGAAAGCACAATATGCATTCTTACATATCAGGAATAATTTTACATTGCAGTCGAAAGCCACAGAGCAGTAAGCTTGGTAAGTTAGTAATCCTGTGTCCTATAGGTTGCATCTTTTTTTACCTACTACAAAGATTACTTTAACAGTATTTCCAGTCCAGGAAGTAGACATAAAGCAATAAAAATGCTTTGGTTCTTTTAAGAGAGATCACTGTGAAGTCAAATGTGAAGCCAAATGTTTAGAAGAATTGACAGAAATGGACAACCTGGATAAAAAATAGAATTAAATTGGGTCGTCGGAGATTGATCAAAACCTCTGTAATGGTCTGATTTTTTTCTAGATTTCAGGAAGTTGGTTGCAAATAATGGCCAAAACAGAAAAAATAATGGCAGGTTGAATGAAAAAGACTGAATATACACTTTCAATCATATTCAGAAGGCAGGTGGAAGTCCTGTACATATACAAGCTTTGACTGTTATAATAAAAAGAAGTGTTTTTCCACATTCAGCCATTCTCTGATCTCACCTCCACCTCTCTTTATCCGTCCCCTCATCTCTTCATCCCAATCAATCTCTCTCTCTCTCTCTCTCTCCCTCTCACTAATGCACTCTTTCATGTGCTCTCCTATTTCTCTCTCTCACTGCTGCCCTCTTTCCCTCACCCTGATGTCTCATGGCTCTTTTGTAGGCCCTCTACATTTTTGGGGGTAATGTGATCTCCCCTATTCCTCCCCAGGGTGGTCCACTCCTCTCATTCAAATAACAAGGTCAGGCTGAATGGAGTTGGTGAACAGAGGAGGGACAGTGAGAGAACAAGTCTCAAAGAGAGAATGGGGAGAAAGTTAGATGACGGATATGTAAAACTGCCATTATATCTCATTTGTGTTCATTCGCAGGTTATGCTACAGGTAGGGTGTGCATAGAGTGTGCAATGTGATGCATTGCATCATGCAAGCAGAGTGTGTGTGTCTTAGCAATGTACCTGTACCATCTGTTAGATCCCATCCAGCAGCTGCTGCTGTTTTCAGCCTAACAAGGCAGGCCGAGTATTTTCCCAAATAAGTATTCCATTAAAATCTACCTTATCTTTATTTACACTTACAGTGTAACAAAACATACTTATTTCATGTAGTCAGTACAATTTTTCATTAGAGTACTAATATCTAGTGCTTCACATTTCAAGCCACACTTAGCCATTCACACATCTCTTTTCACACTCAAACAGATGGATGTATTTAGAGCTCTGCCGATATATCGGTCAATATTAGCTATTTGTTAATATATAAGTATCAGTATTTAAAATCGTGGATGAGAGAGATAAGAAACACCTTGTTCATCAGAGGTAAACTTCCCAACTTCCCTGTTGGCAATAGATCTGTTTGGAATACCGTGAACTAAACAACCGACTGATCGCAGCAGAGCGTAAACAAGTAATGCATGACTTACTTTAACAATAAAGCAGGATTCTTGTTAAAAGCATTTTCACTGTATCTGAAAGAAAAATGAGTCCTGCCTAAGATCACTTCGGTGTGCAGAGACCAAACACCAACCTTGCTATTAATGAACTCTCAGCTTTACTTCCTGAGCAGCAGCTGTTTAGATCTCTAACTGCGCATTATGTCTTTCATTTCTTGTGG